ACTAAATGCTTCTCCAAAGCCAAGGCTAAAAAGCATCTAGTCAGCAAACGAGCATCCGTCCTTACTAATCCATTTCCATAGACTTGTACCAAATCTGTGTGCGAGTTGCCTTCCAGATTCTTACCTTCCAGACCATATTTGACAACCACCTCTCTCCACAAGCCAATTCTGCTATACATGAACTTCTAGGACCATCTAGCCAATAAAACCTTGTTCATAACTGTAAGAGATTTTATGCCAAGCACCCTCCCCCCCTCCCCCTCCACCCTCGCCAGAAAAAGAAAAACATGTTTAGTTGTTCTAAAATGTTAGTTGGGTTTCTTCTAAAGTAGAGGAAATCCAGATGTTGCTTCAGGGATGCAATTTAACATCTCTTTTTGGTGTTTCTCTTATAGTTTCCTAATCACATCTTAAAACTTGATTTTATAATTTATACAACTGTTGGATGTACTATAACTGTTAATATTTTCGATTGATAACTTTTGGGTCTACCATAACAAAGGTAATATGAAATTGTTGGATCTACTATTACAAAAATGCAATGGCCTAGAAGATATACTTGGTAATCAAAGATATGATAGTTTCTTCAAATTTAAGTCTTAATTTTGTTCATATTCTCTAGTTGTTAAAGATATATGGACCACTAGCAGGTATCTGATGGTAGTTACTCTCCTTCAATGGTACAAGAAACCAGAGCTTGTAGCTTAGGCTCATAATTCAACAACTACGACCAATAAATGTCTCTGCCTGTGCCTGTGAAGGTAGTAGAGACTATTGGCTAACCATTCTAGAATTAGTTTCAGGTGATGCTCATTTACATAGAATGTTAAACCGAGTTTGATATTCTTGTAATGAAATATATGACATCTCTGTCTTTCTAAGCCTACGGATTCTAGAAGCCGCTTAGAAAAAGTTATATAAACACAATTCTGTCTCGTATGGCGCCATGGCCTCGTAAAACTGTTTCTTCAGTAGCATCCATTTAAAGAATGGAAGTCACATGTTTCTCTTCTGTAGGCTAAGACTTAGGGTATCACACTATTTTTGTTGATTATATCTCAGATGGGCATTTAAAGTTCGTGTGATTCTGAATTCCTCCATTCAAGTGCTGTTGTTCTTTTGGTGCATTTTAATCAGTTAACATCACAGAACTCCGTTTTTTTTTTGCTATTATAGCCACAACTAGATAACTAAGTCACCTCGTTCCATGGGTTAACAAGATACATTACACATTTTTTTTTTTTCAAAAAAAAAAAAAAACAAGATACATTAAATAACACCATAAGAACAAAATTTCTTAAGTTTTAATGTCAAATGTTGAAGAGCATTTAGTAATTCTTGAACCAGTTTCTTCTCATTTTATGAGTGCATATGAAAAATCAAATAGTAGTCTCCTTAAATTTTTCTTGTGGTGCAATCGATATGTATTGGAAATTCCTGGGGCTACTTAATGGAACTAAAGGTACATATGAGATTAACTTATTTTAGATTCAATCTTTTATATTCTATGCGAAGTTGTTTCAAATAGAGTATGAATGCATAGTTGTCGACCTTGAATACCCAAGACCCAGTATCAAGGACATCTTGAGTTGCAAGTTGTAAATTATGTATATGCTTGCTGTCTTTTGAGAATTTCATGTTTTTTTTCCTCGATTTAAAAGAAAACTTTGAGCATTCTTCCTCAGAGTTTGACCATTTCTTTCTTCCTTTCTTTTGTAGTTGTATCTACCCTCCTCAATTTTGTGAGGACATTCATTCGCGCCCAAGAGGAAAACTACAAGCAGCTTGAATTTGAGAAGAAGAAAGCACAGAAAGATGCAGAAAATGAAAAATTGAAGATGGTTGGCCCGAAAAGAGAATCCGAGAACTTGATCCCAAGCATCATCAAGTGAAAGCACCGGATGATTTAAGTGCTCGAATCAAAATATCTCCTATCGACTAATACAAGCTGTTGCTTCATGGATGATATATATACTATTCAGCTCCATGGATGTAAACATTTCACGAAAATAGATTTTCAAGCCACTGGTAAATCTTTAGTCGACAAAGAAGAATGTATTTTTCAGCAGGCAATAATTAGGAGTTAACAAGAAATGTCTAGCGGGATGTCTAATGCTTAATTCTGCATTGGTAAGCCACTATTCCTCCATTCTATTTCTGAGACATTTTTCTGCTGCTATGATTTAAGCCACTATTTTGCCATTTTTCTGGGACGTTTTTCTGCTGCTATGATTTATTCTTCTTGCTTCTAACACGATTCATTTTCTTATTTGGAACAGAAATGGTGGAGTCCTGTTAAGTTGAGCCCCTTAGAAGGTAGTAGAAATTTTGTTGTAAAAATATGTGTAGTCTCTTTGTTTCCACCCCCCTTGTCAAAACAAGCCTTTGCCGCCCCTGTAACTATTTCTCACATATATATGTATATTTTGGGTTTTAGGAATGTAAATGTTTTCACGTAGTCTTTATTTACATATATATATATATATAATCAATAGCAAAATTCCCTCTTTCAATGTTGATTCCTGTAGTTCCTTCATTTTCCTTAATTCTTAGTAATTCTTCAAGTATATCATGTAGTATTGGAGTTATTATTATTATTATTATTATTTTAATCTTGTTTAGAAGTTCAAACATCTGCAGTGTCATGCTGATCCTGCTGAATAATCACAAAAAACTAAAAGAGAACTATAAGAATTAACTTGTAATAAGATCAGAACAAAGGATAAGCATATATAAAAAAAATACACATATTTAAATGTATACTTAAATCTTCTTATATTGTACATTTGGGGCGCAAGGTTCATATCGCTGTTGATTTAGGGGACTGGGTAATGGATCTTGCAACTGCTGAAGCTAAAGATAGAATGAAGTTAGGATCTTTGGTCAATGATTCCATCATCTCTTCTTCGCTCTTCGTCTTCATCTCGAGATTGTTGTTGTCATTATCGTCTGGAATGGAATTATTCTGAGTGGGTTTGGCATATTGATGATGATGATGATCATGGTGTTGAGTGGACCCAGCTGGTGAAAGAGCAAGATCAAGGGTGATGCATCTTTCAAAAGGGTTAACCCTTAAAGGGTATGGGAAATTGGTGATGAGAGAGCTGGTAGGGTTATTAGTATCAATGGAGTTTCCTTGTAAGTAGAGATTTTGTCCATGGATGTCATGGTTGTGTTCTCCTTCATAGGTTGCAATCAGAATTGAACTGTCCTCTAAGGATCTTTGGACCTAAAATTCATATTATATATAAATTTAATTAATATTCATAAATTTCTCAAGCATTGTCCAGTGCAACTACTGGTTTTTAATTATTAAATATTAATTTAATTTTATATCTTTTTTTTTTAATAAAAATTGTATACATTTCATTAATTAATTAACACATTCGCATAAATTATAATACAATTTTCTAATGAATAAATATAAAAAGACATTACCCGACTCAAACACATAATGTTTTATAAAAATATTAGCTATTAAAATATTATTTATCATTTAATGTTGAGTAAATGTCACGGATTTCTTTGAATTTGTTTTTCCTACTACTACAATATGTAATAGAAGAAAAAATAAAATGTTTTCTCATGAAAAAAAATTAATTACAAATTAAATAGAGAGAAAAATATTAATTAAAAAGAATGTCAAAGGCCACCTTCTTTTTGACAGGGCATGCAGGAGCCATGGAGCATCGGAAATATGCCCTTGGAGAAGGATTGTCTTTCGTCACTTTCTGCCCATATTTCCTCCATTGGTATCCATCTTTCACTGACTACATTTTCAGTATTTTAACAACAATACACATTATATATAATTATTAATTAATTTTTTTTTTTGAAAAAAAACCAAATATTAGTTTAAAGAATCTAAATTAATTGTAGAAAATAATATGTAAAGAAAGGATATGTGTGTGTGTGTGTGTGTATATATATATGTATATGACAAAGAGATTACGACTTACTAGGGTTTTATCTTTGGGGTGAGTTCTTACAAAGATCTGAGATGGCTTTTGTAGTTGAAGTTGAGTTCTTGGTCTCTTATTGGGTTCATAGTATGAGCAATCGACAACCTGCTGCTGATCTTCATCTGTGTTTTTGTGATGATGACGACGACGACGATTATTATTATTATTATTATTATTACTACTACAAGTTTGCTTGACTTGGGCTTCCAGCATACTGTATTTACTGTTCAAAACTTCAAGCAGCCATTTAAGACTTTCATTTTCTTTTCGAAGATTTTCCAGCTCGCCAATCAGTGCCTGATCGTCATCAACATCAAAACATTATCTTTCAAATTTATTCTTCTTATAAAATCTTAATATCAGCCAAATGAATGTCAATCCAATTCAAATTCATCTACTTAATTAATACCCAGAATTCTTTAAGCGAAAGATAAGACGAAACTGAAGGTCTCAGCAGAAATACATGTATATGTGTATGTATATGAATACAAATACCTTTTTTCTTCTGGAGATGGAATCCACAACATCCATGATTTCATATATATGTCGAGAAAGCTTCAATGTGGATGATGATGATGATGATACAATAAGTTGATAACCAGATTCTTGAGAAATATCGATATATATATGTGTGTGTATGTTGTGTATATGTATATTATGTAATATATAATATATGACATGCAGCAGGTAGGTTAGGCGGTTTTATTCGCGTAACCTCAGGGACTTAAAACGACCAAAGTGGAGTACCGAAGTTTTTGTTTTTCCTCTGGCTGCTGCATGTGTACATAGTTATAGAATATGTACATATATATATACATAGTACATAGAATATATTTATAAATTATTTAACTTTATAAAGGTTGACTGAAAGTGGAATTGTATTAAAAGAAGTCTTCTCATTTATATAATAATTATACAATTAAAACTAAATATGACAAATATTATGCAAAATGCATGACGTGCTGAGTGTGAAGTAAGCACGTACTATTATATTCTTGTCTTTAATTATCAATTTTTTTTAAAACAAAAAATATACCAACACATTAATATATGATGAGTCAGGACTTTTATCTTTTATTTTAAAGTTATGAATTCGATTTTATATTAAATTTTTAAAATAAAAAATGTCGGTAATTAATTTATAATAGTATATTTATTATAATAAAAAATTTAATTTATTAATATGTTAATAAAATTATAGTAATTAAATTAAATATCATCTAAATAAATAAATTATAATGTAATCAAAGTTTTTTAATTAATTAAAATAAAGTAAAAGATGTGACGTAATTTTTTATTTTATTTAAAAAAGAAGAATTCTTTTGTGTTGTGATCAGAAATTGTTGGCTTAACGCGTTTAAGGGATGCAGACAAAATTTATAGACTCAAGTCTTCCTCTTTTATCTCCTCTTTTGTTTTCATTTTCCTTTCTATATATAATATAATATAATATAATATAAACAAAAATATATGTTGCTTAAGTTGGTAAGAAGACGGTTAATTTTACATGTAACACCCAACTAAAATAAAAATTTTATTTTATTATTTTTATTTTTATTTATTTGATTTTTATTTAATTTAATTTAATTTAATAAAAATAAAAATAATAATAATGATAAAATTGGGTAAAAAAATATTATTTGGATTTAATTAAAATTGATTTTAAAAAAAAGGGGTGAAAATTTAGATTATTGGGGTGTTTTTGAAAAGAAAATCGAAAACTGGAGGGTCAAAACGCAATTTAGAAAAATTGTGCCACGTCAGCACCCACCTCAGCAGCCACGTCAGCGGCCCGGTCAGCAGCCCCGGCCAACCAGGACCCGCCGCGTGGCAAGGCAACACTGACCAGGGAACATGCCACGTGGGCGATCCGCGTGCGCGCGATCGGACGGCCCAGATTGCATTGCGATGGACAGCCCAGATTTAATCTCAA